GGAACATCACTCAAATATATAAGCCTATTCTCTCTCAAAGTGTCATGATTGTCATACCCTCTTCAGGGACCTAAAATCCTGGAGCTAGTTAGGTGACCACACCTATTTCAGTATCAATATACTGAAATAACTTCCTTTGGAAAATATAAAGTTATTATGCATATCAGGATCCAGAATATTAGAAGCCTAATGACTAGAAAGCTAACCAGAATAACGGAAATGGGCCTGGTAGGGTATGTGACGAACAGTGAATGGAAAGTGCTCTCACTGAGTTGACGAACCTGCACACCCCACCTAACCTCCAATGCTTTCATGGTACTCTCTGTTCATCAACTGGTTTGGCAAACATTTACTGTGCTTCTTAAACATCATCAATGCCTACCGTTCCTTGCTGAAAAAGAAACCAGACAGTAACTCAATCTACATGTTCACTAAAGGTGAGCCATGTCCTCAATTATGCTTAAGTCTGTGAAAGTTATCAAATTCGCCTAATATATGACTTTTTACCCTATGGAGCCTATTAACTATAAAAACAACGCAATTAACTAATATTATACTCAAAACTTTATTAAATACCTAGAAGTCATCTTAGAAAAGTAGAAGGATTTTGGAACTAAGATTAAGAAATAGATTTTGGGCTAGAGAGGTAGGTCATTGGTTCCCAGCACGAATGTCAAATAGCTTATAACTGCTTGTTATTCCAGCTCCAGGGAACTGCATGCCAGTTCTCTGGCCTACATGGGTACCTATATAAACATGGTGTAAATAACACAAGCACATACAAATATGCATATAAAATAATTTTTAAAGAAAAATATCTTGAGTTGTATTAAATGAGAACTATCTATGAACTTATGGACTCTGGTATTTGATTATTATTCGTTTTTATTTTTAATGTTTAATGGTAGTTTTACATATGTATGTATTCCTGTATGCCATATGTGTTCTTGATGACCATGGAGGCCAAAAGAGGACACTGGGTCCCTTGGAATTGTAATTGCTGATGTTTCTGGAGTTACATATGGGTCTTGGGAATTGAACAGGGGTCCTCTGTAAGTAGACCAAGCACTATTAACACTGAGCTGTCTTTCCAGCCCCTGGTATTTGAACTCTCTGTCCCTAGTTTGTGGTACTGTTTCCAGGAGATTATGGTATCTAGGAGATGGAAGTTTGTTGGAGAAGTACATCACTAGAGATGAACTTTGAGAATTTATAGTCTCGCCTCTCTCCTAGTTAACCCGATATGCTTCCAGTGTATAACTGAACATGTGATCTCTCACTCACTGTTCCAGATGCCCACTGTACTGCATGTCTGGAACTTTCTCTGTAACAATGAGCCAAAATAAGTTCTTTCTTCCATAAGTTACTTCTGGCCATAGTATTTTCTTCGGACAATAGAAAAGTCATTAATACGTTGATTCAGGTTGTCATCCTGAAGCTATTACTTTATATCCTAATCTTGGGTAAGTAAATTCTTTAAGACATAACTGCATTGCATACAAAACAATGGATAATGTCTTCTTTACAATGCTTTATAACAAGCCAATAAAAAGAAAAAATAAATGCCTAGAAATTAGGTCCAATTATCATTCAATAAAAGCAATCTGGTGTTTTTTAAAGAGCATAGAGCCTGGAACACTTGCTGCAACTTTCAGGCCCTATGGTGTTGGGTAAGTTATGATCCCTATGTTAGTTTCTCCATTGCTACAGAAGAATAAGATGTGGAGTCTACTTCATTAAATAAATATCTGAAGTAATAAAAAATGTATGCAATGAGATTGTAACAGTACTTAACACTTAGCACATGTAAAAATACTGTTTCTATTAAGAACATACAGTATAAGATTTGAAAGAATAGATCAGCCACATACACTAGCAATAATGGGTGGTTTATAGAAGAAAGGATTCTTGACTATGTCAGAGTTTTCATGTGAGAAAAGATTATAAGCAAAGCAGAGTAAAGGAAATGAAAACTACAGGCAAAGGAATAGGTGCTTTCCAATTGAGAAAAAGGAATCCCATATATTTAGGATAGACTAAAGACAATATGCATATACAAAATAAGAAAGATCTACCAGTTAAAATACATAGAAAGCTAAAATACACAGGAACAGTGAAAGTATTTTGTGATTCTTATAAATATTAACATAAAATACATACTAAAGTGCACTCAAACACATAAGATACTAAAGAACACAAAAGCATAGAAAACAGCCCTGTGTTCAAAGTGTTTATAATATAAAAAGTAAATAGTTCTCATAAGAAACAGATAAGAATCTATGCACCACAAGGAAATAAAATTATTTGCTTTTCTTTTATCCTCCAATAATAAACCCTGGCCAAATGCTAACACAAGCAGCTGGCAGTACCTTGCCAGTGGGTTGAGAACATTGACCAAGAAGATGGGAACACACACATACACACACACACGCACACACACACACAGAATCATTTTCAATACATTCATTACATTTCATAGTCCAAGGCCCAATTCAACTTAATATTTTATCATGAGAAAACTTTTTATTATTTATTAATATTATATCTGTGTTGCATCTAGACACTGACAAAGCTAGTATATATAAAATAAGCAAAATACAAGAGATTAGAACAACACAGTCTACCAATAAGACTCAAGTGATAACTTAAAACATTCAGTTCAACAACAGCACACTCCTCTTGCTTCATTTATGTGAGTTTATGTATATTCATAGAAATGCATAATCTGTATGTTTCAGTGGGAATAAGTTGAGAACAGGACAATTCTAGTACTATGAATACACCCTGTCCAGAACTGTGGAGGCTGAGGAAGGAGGGTAATGGGTTTGAGGCCTGATACAGAGAACTTGTCTCAAAAACAGACTAACAGTCAAAGAAAGAAGAGAATTAACCCAGAGCCAAGAGAAGCACAAAGTAATGCAATATACTCAAAGAAAACAAAGCAGTAAAACACCAAAACAAAAAACTGTCCAAAAACAAAGTCAAAATTAATAGAATGCTAGCAAGATTAAGAAAAAGGGGGAAAAAATAAAATGAGCAGTATCATAGGTAATTACAAATAGAGTAGCCATTAAAGAGTTAACCAAAACACAGGAGCAAGTAGAGTCACCCAAGGTATCTGGAACAAAATGTACCCATTAAATTCACTAAATCAACAGGTTAACGTGGGGAAAATACTGTGATTACCTTAGCAGATAACAAAGAACTCTTTTTTTTTTCTTTTTGAGACAGGGTTTCTCTGTGTAGTTCTGGCTGTTCTGGAACTCACTCTGTAGACCAGGCTGGCCTCGAACTCAGAAATCCGCCTGTCTCTGCCTCCCAAGTGCTGAGATTAAAGGCGTGCACCACCACTGCCCAGAGTAACAAAGAACTCTTAAAGGCATGGTGGCACACAGCTTTAATCTCAGTACTTTGGAGGCTGAGACAGGAGATCTCTGTGAATTCCAGGCATACACAGCGAGACTCTTGTCTCCAAAACAACAAACAAAAACGAATAAACAAACCCTGAAGGATCATAATTAAATGTCCACAGTAAGTTAAGAAAAGAAGGTTGTTTTCTTAATTTGGTATGGTATCTATTTGGAGAATAGCAAAGTATACATCATACTTGGAGGTGGACTTAAGAACAGCAAACTATGTAAAATGCAGTTGCTTTATAAAGCAGAATGTTTATTAATGTTTTACCTTTTAATTTTGTTTGTATCATTTTCCTGTTATAGAAGGCATCAACAACACACTTCATCAAAAATCCACTCAAGATTTATTTCTTTTTGCAAACACAGACATTCATTTCATTAGTAGGCAGGCTTGTTTTCATATAAATGGTAATAATATTTTAATATTAATTCATTTATGGTTGATAATATCCATTTGGTATTAGATTTTTATGCCTATTTTATATGTACATCCCCAGTACTGCAGATAAACTTCTCAGGCAATGGGCCAGCCACAAAAAAATGTAAAAAGTTGATTAGCATTTAGTATACTTCTATGTTTTCAGATTTGATTCATACTGTGATTATATAACTGCCGGTTTTCACAGTGGTGCTTCATGTAAATGTGTAGTACAAAATGGTGTATCATCAATCTAAACAGCAATTCTAAAAACCAAACAATGTCCTAATTGGAAGGCAACCTGAAGAACAACAGTAAGTAAATAGTTAAAATCTTTTTTTATATATATATTAAAGGGTCATGTTTCTATAAGAGCAAAGTCCTTTTATATACAATAAAAGAACACTTCAATTCTTAACACACAATAGCTGTGGGTCTGAGTTGACCTGTTTCAAGGAGTGTTCACTGGCATTGGTCACGTGATGGAATGAAGCTACACAAGGCAGCAAGCAAGATGCCAGAACCTCAGATGCATTAGTATAGATGGTTTGAAGGTTCCTGACTTCACATTCAGGCATATTTTAGTGTCACCATTTTTTTTTAAGATTTATTTATTTTATATATATGATGAGTACACTGTAGCTATCTTCAGACACACCAGAAGAGAACATTGGATCCCATTACAGATGGTTGTGAGGCACAATTTGGTTGCTGGGAATTGAACTCAGAATCTCTGAAACTGCAGTCAGTGCTCTTAACCACTGAGCTGTCTCTCTAGCCCCTTGTATCATCAAATTTATGCATTGTGTGACTCCATGTGGGATCAACAGACATAATTGATGGAACAGATTTTTTTTAAAAAAAAAAAAACTTGTACATATGTCTAATACAAATTGAAACTATAAACCACATGTAAGTGCCAGGCGGTGGTGGCGCACGCCTTTAATCCCAGCACTTGGGAGGCAGAGGCAGGCGGATTTCTGAGTTCAAGAGTTCAAGGCTAGCCTGCTCTACAGAGTGAGTTCCAGGACAGCCAGGACTACACAGAAAAACCCTGTCTTGAAAAAACCAAAAAAAAATAAATAAATAAAAAATAAAAACCACATGTAAAATAAAAAGGCATACATTCAATCTATATTGAACATATCTGTTATAATTCACTCTACCTTTATTGTCTGTCTGCTGGTCTGGAATCGGTGGTCAGATATCTGCTGTTGATGGAGGAGCTTCTCGTTTGCTTCTTTATATTCCTTAGCAGACAACTCTGCTGCTTTCCTGGCATTCTGAAGCAAACTGTTTTGTTGCTGCAAGGATACAATCCGTTCTCGTAATAAAATAGTGTGGCTACTGGATTTCTGGGCAGATATATTTTTGCACCTTTCTCTGTTAACTAAATAAAAATAATATTCCTCATATTTTATGATACCAGCTTACATTTATGAAGACACTGTTAGCATCTCATTACACTCTTACCTCTGGCAGGAAGGGCACTGTGTAAGCTCTTCTGCAGGCTTCCACTCTTCTTCTGTAAAGTAATTTTCTTGGTATTCTTATAATGAGAAATACTCTAAATGTGAAATTTCCAGAAAAGTTGGTTACTATTCAATGACATTTTCAAACAAATTCGCATGTCACTTAGAGTATATTTAAGTAGGTAAAAATCTGTAGACAACAAGATTCTACAATTTATTTCTCAATTAAAGACCTCAGATATAAATCTGAATTTATATTTTAGTATATAGAATAAACTTAATGTTGAACTATCAGATAGAAGACATAGACACAGAATCAACTCAAATAAAGTAGAATTTAACCTAAGGGCAGTTTAAAATAGTAGGAGCAAATGGAGCAACAACAACAAAATATGGAAATTTAATGAGGAAGTCTCTGAGAGTCTGGATGCTTTGCTTCGACGTTTTTCTTTTTCCAATGTAGACATAAGCTACTGCAAAATGAAGTTGAAATAGTGATTATAGTATATTCTTCTGCTTTCATGCTAGGAGAGGAGGCTCGTACTGGGGAGACCAAGCAGGAAGATTACCTCAAGCATTAGACCAGCATGGCTTACATAGAGAGCTCCAAGCTGGCTTGCCCTCAGGGAGCTAAATGGGGTGTCATGTGGAGCATCAGTCATGTGCTCTATTCGGAGCCCATCAAGGTACAGCCAAAGACATCCTATGCTGCTGAAATCTGGTAAACTTTTGTTTTATTATCCTGGGATTAATATTTAAAAGTTAGACAACTGGGTTGTAGCTACAGTTTGGTGAAAGTGGTAGTTACAGGTTTTCAGAAACTGTCAAACAGTTTTCTGGAATGCTACTTTGTTGTATTTCATAATCAAACCAGCAAAGCCTGAGCTCTAGTTTCTTGCCTCTTTGTCAGCTGGGGATCAATCCTCATTATTTTCACTGAGCTGTCATATTAGGATTTGTTCCTCTCTTTTTGGGTGAACTGTGTTCATGCTCTGCCCACTCATAACTAGATTGCTGTATCTTGAATGGATACATTTTGAGAGATCTTCATATAACTCAATATATGAAACCCTCATCAAATCTGGGTAACACCTACTCTATTTATTCAGTTGTCTTACCTCCTAAGTAGAAACCTTGCTTTGCAAAGGTTGTGAATTTTAATATACTCTAAGTTATAGATCTTAGTTTTGATATCAGGTTTTAAATTCTTCATTTATCAAACCCAAGGATCTACAGATTTTCTCTTGAATTTCCTTCTAAGACCTTTATAACTTAAATGCCATACTTTTATTTGTGCTGCATCAAGAAATCTTCTATATAAGGTATGAGGTTTAGCTATATAGTCCTATTTTGCTTAGCAATAGCCAATTGATGCTACATTATTTGTCAAAAACTATCCTTCCTTAATTGAAATATTGTTTTCATCTTCATCAAAATTCAGTTGGTAAAAATTAAAGATTTACTTCTAAGTTAAGTATTTCATTATATAGATAATAAAGTTTCCTGCCCACTTTGTGTGTGTGTGTTGGGGGGTGTTGTATCATCTCCTTTTATAACTGAACCAATTTTGGCAAATTAGAATTTATGCTACTCTCTATGGGCCAAACAAATACAAAGTATTTTCTAGTTTTGTAATTTTTATTTGGATTATTCAATAGCTTTACTTCTTTACTGACATCTTTCTTTATTAACATGCTCTGTCTTTTTCCATGTTGTAACCTGTCCATAATTATTCATTGAAGCACTTAGCAGTGACAGTTGGATTAAAATGAATATCATATATATAATTCTATATCTACTATAAGGCTTTTGTCTTTTGTTGATTGATTTTCCTTCTACAAACTGCGGTACTGTTGGTTCTTTTAATATGATGAGTGACTTCCAATTGCATTCTGAATATTTTGGGTATTGTGTGTGAAGGCTATAAATATTATTTGCATTTTGTTTGAGAAGACTTCTCAACTTACACTGTTGAGACAAGAGGCACAATATCAATTATACAAGTTGAGAATGGAAGTCCAGTCTCTAGAGACACTGTAGTTGAGAAGGGGCACATCATTACTGTTTTGCAGAGTAGAAGTTCAGGCTCTCCAATGGGCCTCTGCTGATACTACTGTAGCTGGAAGACAGAGGGGGCCTTGTTAGTATTCTCACCTGGCCTACTATGACAACATGAGGAGGCCTGGGGGCTTGTTAGGAATGAGGTAATGAAAGTCCCTTCTTGCTATGCTTATGAAATCACACAGCTTGAAAGGAAAGGGACATCATCTCTCAGATGGCGGCAGATGGCCAGCACTGCTCTACAGTCTCCAGTGAAATGAAGTAAATAGAGTCATTACCATTAGCTCTCCTGTGGATCCTCTTATACTTTACCCAGATAGGAAGAGGAAGAGGAAGAGGAAGAGGAAGAGGAAGAGGAAGAGGAAGAGGAGAAAGAAGAGAAACAAGAGCTAACTCCTTACAGATAAATGACAAGCTCTAGATACCCAATAGGCCTTTAATGATGGAGGTAGAGGTGGAAGTAGAGTTATATTTTCCATGGTGTTTGGTTGATACCAGGCAGTGATTATGTAAAGTTTTCTGTCTTGCTAGACTAATCTTCTCTTTATCTTCTGGGCTGAAAAGAATATGGTTTGATTGGAGACTTTTATCATCTTTAATATTACAGTTTACAGGATGTAGGTGTCTCAGTTATCTATATCCAGTTTATAGAGAAGAAGTCAAGAGTTCAACTCTATGTTGAACTTCAATTCCTAAGGTTCCCATCTAGACTTTTTGTTTCCTTTTCTTTTAAAATTTAGTATAGTTTGTATTAGTTTATATCTGTCTTCCTATTTTGATAAGGGGCAATTTTTAAAAATTGGATCATATTAGTATATGTTATCTTATTCAAAAGGCACCATCTAGGAGGGCAAAAGGCATAGGAAAAATGCCATGCATATATATGTCTATACATACTATATATATTCAACAAAATCCTGTACCTAGGTACCTCCTATATATAAGAAAAAATAGATAATTTGTGAATAAAATGAATAGACATGAAAATACAGTTTAGTAAAGAATTACAAATGGCCAATAACCACAAAGAAAAGGCTGGATATCTTAGTAATTACAGAAAACTAAAGAAAACCCTCAGTGGTAAACCTCAAATCACACAGAAATGGCTGCAGTGGGAGAGTATAATGTGCCAAGCGATGACATCCTATAACCTGATGGTGGGTGTATTGAGATCCTCCCCTACTTAAGAGAATAAAAGACACCAACCATACTCTCAGAAATTCACCAGCCATGGCATGGAATTCATGTTTGAGCTTTTACTACAGAAATGTTCATATTTATGCACAAACAAAATGTACAAGAATATTCATTGCAATACTATTTATAGAAAATATGAAGTGAAGCTTCTCAAGTTCCAACAGTTACAAGAGACAACAAAATACTATTTACAAGACTGGAAGTCAATGAACTCTGAGTGGCAGTGGACACGAAATGCCAGGGACCAGAGGTTTTGTCTCCTACTCATACGTCTCCAGAGAGGACACTTGATCATAACTTAAAGGGAACAAAATGATAACATAAAGAAAGTGACTTCATTACAGTCAGGGGCTTGCTGAGGGAGTCTAATGTTTTCCACACACACTCACTATCATTTGCTTATTGTCTGTTAAAGTCATTTGTAGATTTAATCAAAAGGGTTTATATGTGCTTGTCATGTCAATGAGAACTTGAGTTTCTTTTATTTACAAGCTCATTAGGCAGCATTTGTATAATGATAACTAAACAACACAGTCTATCAAGTAATATACAGAAAAATAGCAACAAAAAAAGGTTTTTTAAAATGAAAAATTTTTAAAGCTAGGGTCTCTCACTATATAAACCAGGCTAGGCTGGCCTAGTACTCTTGATTCTCCTGCCTCAGTCATAAAATACTAATTTCTGTAGAAACTAGCTATTTATCATTAGTCAGGTAACAGGAGCATAGTAAGAATAAACAACTTTAAAACAATAATGAGCTTATTGTTAGTTTTTTTTATCATTTCCTATTCTTTGAGATAAGACTGTCTTAAGATTTACAAATCTGGTGTTTATTTTCATTTTATCTTTGCAAAGATAGCAAACAGGTGTTTGAAAAAAATTCAAAAGTGGGTATTTTTGCTGTCTACTTTCAAGAAGACAGTTTTTTAGGGATTCAAACTTAAATAGTGGTACAATGAATCAATTTAAGTTATAGAGAGGGCAAGGCTGAGAACATACTGTGGAGCTGAGAAGAGCCAGCGTACCTGCGGGGCCCTGATGTCCTCACATGAGTATGTCTGCATTGCTTTTTGTTGAGTACAGCCATCTTCTGTTTGGTCAATTTCTTTCTGATTTCCACCATCTTCATTAGGGCTTATATTCTGGGTTGTTTCTACAATAATTGTTCCCAAATTTTGAAAGGTTTGTGTTTCAGAATCACTGCTTAAAAACAAACAAAATAGAACAATCAAAATAAAACCAAAAAAAAAAAAGAGGAGAAAATGAGCCTCAATGAGACAGACTCACATATGCACTTCTATAAACACAGTGGTCAAGTGGTATTAGAGTGTGGATCATATACAAAGCTATACATCTAATTGAACATCGTTTGGTTCTCACTATTAAACTTTATTTAGACATACATATTTCAAGAATTTCATAAAGAAACTTGATCCCTTGCATAAAATCCCCATCACCCACTCTTCTGAAATGTTTCTGCAGAGCACCAGCTCAGGAAGCCCAGGGTGCCTCACTGCCAGTCTCCAAGCCAGGGCACACAAGTTTAAATTTTTTTTTTTATAGAAAGTTTCCCCCAGAAGGTATAACATTTTTATCTGTTAGGCTTTTTACCATGGGCTATAGCTTTATTCCTTATGACTGAAATAGTACACCCACTATGAGCCAGGAACTTTTGTCTACAAAAGGGTTAAAGTGGTAAATAATAAAATCCGGGGAAACAATCTGAAAACCATGCCTACATGTACCTTGTGTCATAATGACAATCTGGACAATAGAACCAGATAAGGGTGAGTGAAATACACAGTACACTAATAATGACGTGCTCCAGAGAAAAACAAACAAAGCAATGAAGAGATTAAACATTTTGAAGATCATTCACTGGCCACCACAGACATGCAACTTAAACTACACTGAGATGCCATCTCACTTGGGACAGAATGGAAGTCATTACAAAAACCAATAACAACACAACCCAGCAAGACTATCGACAAAAGAGAACTCTCATGTAATGCCTTAGAAAATGAAAACTAGTCCAACCACTGTGGAAATCGGCATAGAAGTTCTAAAACTAAAACTATATCCCCATATGATTCAGCTAGATTGTTCATGGGTTATCCAAAGGATTTCAAGCCACTATGCCAAAGAGATACTTGCACAATATTATTTCAGCACTACTCACAAAAGCTAAGCTATAAAACCAAATTGAATGTCCATCAACACAGGGATGGGAGAAGATGATGTATATGATATAAAGATATAATGGATTTCTTTCCACCATGAAAGATGAAGTTATATTGTTTGAAGGAAAATTGATAAAACTGGAGACAATCACTAGTCAGTGTCAAAAATACAAATCTCATGTTTTCTCTTATTCACAAATAAGATTTTACACAGATACCTGAAAGCATATCTGATATGAGAGTTGATATGGTGGTTTGACTGATGGTCCCCATAGGCTCATATATTTGAATGCTTATTCATCTTTGAGTGAAACTCTTGGAAAGGATTAGAAAGATTAGGAGGTGTGGCCTTGTTGAAGTAGGTATGGCCTCCCTGGAAGAAATGTGTCACTGAGGGTGGACTTTGAGGTTTCAAAAACCCAAGCCAGGCTCAGTCTCTCCCTATGCTTGCTTCCTGAGGATTAGAGTATAAAGCTCTCAGCTACTTCTTCACTGTCCCATGCCTGCAACAGACTGTGCTGTTGTTTTTGTAATGACTTCCATTCTGCTTGGAGTGAGATGGCATCTCAGTGTACTTTCACCTGCCTGCCTCTCAATGTCCCATGCCTGCCTGCATGCTGCCATACTCCCTGCCATGATAAGAATAGACTAAGCCTCTGAAACTGTAAACAAGCCCCCAACTGAATGCTTTCTTTAATAGGAGTTGCCTTGGTCGTGGTGTCTTTTCACAGCAATGAAACAATGACTAAGACAGCAGAAGTGAAAAATTTAGGGATTTAGAGAGTGAAGGAGAGAAGGGAGGAAATACGTTCAAAGCATATCAGAGACTAGTATAAAAATATATATTCACCATTAAAATTATTTTTAAAACCAAGAAACAGAAGGTTTGAGGTTGAAGAGGACATAAAAGTAAGTTTTTCACATAGATATATTTAAACTATTTTTACATTGATACATACTCTTTAAGACATCCTTAGGAAAAGTAAAACAACTCATGGCTTATTCTAATTTCCTAATATAAACAATTTTGAGATGCTTTGCTGCCTTGGTCTCTCTTGAACATACTCTAGCTTATGCTTATGCAGCAACATGATGAGAATTCAAATTTCACATCCTAAGAAGTGTATACTACCTGTTACTTTGAAGGACTTCTGGAGGCTAAAATTGTTTAAGTCTCTTTGGTATGTCCATTCTAAAATAGACTCATACAATATTGTTACATATTGACTATTAAACACTTATTTCTTCAAGAGTGGCTAAACAACAGACATTTTGTACTTAAAGTAACCTGTTCTGTAATCTTATGTATAAGTGTATCTTCCTAGTCTGCTGACATCTTTGGAAATCATGATTATACATTGTAAGGTTTTTCCACATCTTATATTTAGAAGTGTATTTATTTTCTGCTTTTTGAGTGCCCTTTTAATGACAAAGTTGATAAGGATGCTTTGTTAGGGTTCAGATACATAGTTGTGTTTAAAAATGAGGTAAGATGTTGGCTAGACAACAGGCCAGTGGTAGAGCACTTAGCATGAGCATGGCCTGTGCTCAGTCCTCAGTGTAGGCCAGTGTTAGAGAAAAAACAAGGATCAGCCTGATAAAAATTTCTTTTCAAGAACCAGGCAGACATTCAGAAATCAGTTGTTGTGGTGGTTTGAGTATGCCTAGCTCAAGAAGTGGCACTATTTGTGGGTTTGGCCTTGTTGGAGTAGGTCTGTAACCATGTGCATGGGCTTTAAGACTCTCATCCTATGCCTGGAAGCTAGTCTTCTTCTAGCTGCCTTTAGATAAATCAGAACTCTCAGCTCCTCCTACACCATGCCTGCCTGGATACTGCTATGCTCCCACCTTGATGATAATAGACTGAATCTCTGAACCTGTAAGCCTGCCCCATTAAATGTTGTCCTTATAAGAGTTGCCTTGGTTATGGTGTCTGTTCACAGCAGTAAAACCCTAACTAAGACAGTGTGTATATGTATACAAGCACACACTTGTGTCTTTGAGTTAATATATGTTTGCGTTTGTGTGTAGTATGTGCACTCACATTCATGCAGGTGCACATGCATGCATGTGTGTGTGCCAGTAGTGGCCTGAAGTTTACATCCTATGTTTTCTTCAATTGTTCTTAATCTTTTTAGAGACAAGGTCTCTCACTGATCTCTAAGCTCACCAGTTAAATAAACTCTGTGGCCAGTGAGCCCTAGGATCCACCTATCTCCACATCAAATCCCCCTCCAGCTGAAGACTTATAGCTGTGTTTCCAATTTTTTGGCTGTAAGAGACCTGGACTTGTATAGAAGTTTGTTTCCTGTCTGAGACATATTACCAGCTCCAATTCTTCCTTTAAATTATATTTATAAATAGCTATTTTTAAATGTCCTGGTAATGTATTTAGGCTTCATTTAAACTATTACTTCTTTCTGTATATTTTTACAAAGTAAGAATGGCAACTTATCAAATTTATAAATTTTCTCAATACACTGAAAGTCAGTATGTCTGAATCAGAAGAGTAGACTCACTGCAATCACTTATGCTGTTACTTTATTGATGTTGGTATTTGTATTAATAATCTCCTCCTCTATTTGTCCAAAGCTTAGCAAGAATCCAACATGCAATGTAAAAACTGAGGAGAGCTGTATGATCAGTATATTTAGTCGTATAATTAGTGATAGAAATGATTGAAAACATTTCTTTGAGGTTGAGATGAAGCAGTATTTCACTTTCCTCATTTTTCTTCCATTTTTTATTTTCAAAGTCTTTTTCATTATATATAATGTTTCATGAAGGCAGGATCCACTCACAGATGTGAAAGCTCTACAACAGTTGCCTTCAGAAAGCCCCTATTCTAGCTAGAAAAGAGGAGATGATAAACATAGTACATGAAAGGCTATGGAGTGTGCTGTAAGGTAATAAGAGCTGCTGGAAGACCACACTGAGCAGAGGATGAGAAAAGGCCACAGTCCAAGACACGAGATGAGAACAGAGTTGTGATTTGGAACAGAATGGTCTCTGGGACAGCCTTAGAGAAAGGACATAGATAAATGGGTATCTAGAAAATACATTCTACACAGAAGGTAGGGGTATACCTGTACAGCCGAGATACCTGAGATACAGATTCCCCAACTTGGCAGGAAGAACTAGACGTTCAGTGTGGCCAAAAAGCCTGGTTAGGAAACTGTGCAAATGGGGAGATACATGCCAGTGTTGGAACAACACATGGGGTGATGGTGGTCCGTGGTTTTAGAAGAAACCCATGATAAATTCCCAATTGCCTGGATGTTGGAAATGAAGACTGGACTCAAGGATAAGTTCAAGTTATTATTTGGTGTAAATGAAAGAATTGCCATTATTTAGGAAGAGATTCCATAAGGGGAACCCCAGGAGTATGGATTAGGGAAATCGATCCAAAGTATGATGTTAAATTGATTGTTACTTGAATCTTAAATTCATGAGTGAGGAGTAGTATGTATATTAAAATGTTTGGATGGCTGCAATAACATTAATTAACGATGTAAGGATTGCGTTGACATATGATATCACAAAAGAACGTCAATTTTTAAGTGAGATATCCAAGGGTTTGGCCTCTTAAAACCCAGATGGGAGGGGTAGGGAGGAGAAAACAGTAAGTGGCCCTATGACTGAGTGTCACTGGTGTGCTGTGGTGGAATACCAATCGTAGTGCCACGTCTGACTTTCACTGAAGAGACTGCGGCTGTGTCAGTGACTATCACATGCAAGGTATAGCATGTCTGCGTGTAGAAAAATTTAAACAGATCTATATTTGTCACCTTGCATGAAGCTCAAGTCCAAGTGGATCAAGGACCTCAACACAAAACCATATAAACAAAATCTAATGGAAAAGAAAGTGGGAAAGAGCCTTGAACACATCAGTACAGGGGGAAATTTCCTAAACAAAACTCCAATGGCTCATGCTCTAAGATCAAGAATTGATAAATGGGACCTCGTGAAACTAGAAAGCTTCTGTAAAGCAAAGAACATAGTCAATAGGACAAACCAGCAACC